TATCTGTCTGACTTTACAGTGGGTTTCTTTTGACCGCCCCCTGTCATTTAAAAGAATATCTTAATGGCGAACGTGTTAAGTATAAAAGCCTTGTCTGCTCCGTGAGGTCCGCGATGCGGCACCAGCCTTAGATGTTTGTTTGTTTTTTCTATAGTTCAATGGTGCATCTAACCTATCTTTAGCATTTATTTTACCACTAATTTTGTGATTTTTGCATTCACTCTTTGTGTATGCCTGTTTTTGATATTGTGATGTAGGTCTTAAAATTAATACTTAATGGTCTTAAAAAGTCTTAAATTTGACATTGTGATATCTGCAGAAGCCCTGTAATCCCAGGTGCTGTTGATTTGATTTATTTTTTTGGCTGGAAATGAATCTAATTTCCATTTTAGAGATTCAACTGAGATCTTAAAAGAACACTCTACTTTTGCCCTAGAGTTAAGCTGTTAGGTTTTACTATTTTTGAATCTATTCAGCTGATCTCCAGGTCTGGGGGGAGCACTTTTAGCTTAGCTTAACATAAATCATTAAATCGGATTAGACCATTAGTTTCTTGTTCCAAAATGTCTAAAAAAAAGTGTTTCAATAATTTTCCTATTTAAAGTTTGACTCCTCTGTAGTTACGTTGTGTAGATGGCAAATGAAAAGTTGCCATTTTCAATGTTGATTTGGCTAGGAACTATACTTTATTACTACTGTATATAGGCATAATGTCATTGCGCCTACTCCAGCCATGGTCCAGCAACAAATTTCCATTATAATTACACCATAATGAATGTATAGTTTTCAGCCATACTGATCTAGAAATAAAAATAAAAAAAAGTTAAGTTTTCTGTCTGTCCTAGTCAGGGATGTCACTAGGGTGGGGAGTGGGGGTGGGCGTTATTCTAAGTTCCATTTTGGGGCCCCAGAGGTCAATTACTATCTTCACTTTTGTCTGCGACACTCCCCTCGCTCTTCACTTTTGTCCGTGATACCCCCCCACCCCCCACCCCCTCCCAGCTCTTAAAATATTGTCATAAGGCCTGTACCGGCCATTGGCACCCCTGTTCCTAGTGCACGCTGTAAGAGTCAAGCTTTACAATTATCGAAAAAGGTTTTTGACATTTTTAAGAAAGATGATAATGGTCTAATCTGATTCAATAGTTTATGCTTTGCTAAGCTAAAAGTGTTCCTGTAGTCCCAGATGTTCAATTAAATTGATTACAAGTTTATTTGTAAATCGCCTTTCACATTAAACATTGCTTCAAAGCAGCTTTAAAAAAATTCACATTATTTTATTGCAAACAGAATCAGAAAAGTTGAAGTTATTGGTTACCACAATTTTATTACTTAAAATTTTGTTACTTAAAACTTTAACTAGCTAACTATTAACTAATACCTTTGAACAGTTAAGTTATTATACAGTATATAGACCAATTCAATGTGGTCATCTCATTGACCCATGAACATTTCCTGCTTGTTATCAAACTATTTAATAACTATTGAGAAGAGACAATTCAATCATAACTTAATATTAAAGCAGCTATCATAACATTATTTATCAATGTGTGGCTCTTTTTGGATTCTCGAAAGCTATAGAAATTAAAAATGTAAAACAGGAAATATGTTGGGACCAATGTTGTTTTTGTTTACATCCCTTAAAATGATCTATATTCATAGCTAAGCTGCAGTTATGATGTATATACAGTAGGTGAGGTCTATAGACTAAGTGTATTTGTGTATGTGTCCTTAAAGTCTTCAATGGTTGGCATCATCTGGCTGAATAGATTCAGAAATGGTGACACTCAACAGTTTAACTCTAGGGGAGTTATAAACTTAGCCTATTTCCCCCAAAAAAAGTGGAGTGTTCCTTTAAAGAAAAGCCACTTGTTATTGTTCATTCCTGGTGCGCAGACGAGACACATCTGATGCTCTAAATCCTCTTTGACCTGTTTTGTTCCCTTCACCTTCTGAACGCTGGTTGATCTGCGTCTGAAGCAGGAGAGCAGCAGGGGTTTATCGAGTTTTACATGGATCTGCAGAGCAAACAAGAGCAGTGAAAGAGGGAGCCTCGGTGCTCACACATGTCTGATGTCACTCTCTTAGAGTCGTTTGATGGTTCACTTCTCCAAAGTGAAGATAATGAAGTGTGCAGTGAATCAAGGCCTGCAGGCTGCTTACTGAAACATGCATGACTTTGCCATAATCTCAAATCCACTTTCATACACTAATCCATATTTTATGTTGAATATAAAGGTTGGGTGGTTTTTATGTGACGCCTGTTGGATTTCAAGGTTTGTATTAACAAAATTATTTAATAATAAAAGTAAAAGTAATACAGCAGGCTTTAAACATACGTTGTCATCCTACAAATGAATTTTTACCTTTTTTTTTCCAACATTTGTTCTGAATGTATAAGCAGAGCGTAGATTTTGCTCAGGAAATCTTGACATTGTGATGTTTAAAAAATTCTAAACTTAAAGACAAGCTATTTAAAAGCAATCAAAAGTCACTGTACATTATTACTAATTGAAAAAAAAAAATTAAAAAGCAATTTAATTTCACTGTACACTTCATTTTAGTTTTTTATGATTTTTTAAAACATTTTGAATGTGAGGCTAGATGTCTCTTTTGGCCTTTCACCATGTTTGTAACTAAATAATTATAAAATTAATCAAATGATCAAATTTGTACCAACACATTTTTATAAAGAAGATGTATTTTTCCAAAATTGAGCCCTTTATTTTTTGTTAAATATATAAATACCATCTTGTTTTTAGCACTCAACACTATGGGCCCTTTCATACTGTCACCTGGCACAATAAGACGCAAGACGTGTTTGGTGCAATGTGTTGCTATTTTTAAACCAACGCAACCCTAGTTTTCTCGTTTTGCACTACGTCGTTTAAATAGTAAATCCATATGCGCCACTTTGTGTACTCATGGGTGTGCTAGTCTAGAAAAAAAAGGTGTGTTAAGGCACATTGTTGATGCGTTACTATTTTGAGGAACTAAAATAGACTGCACCATTGACCAACTGAAAGCTGCTATAAAGTCCAGCGCAGAGCATGTTAAACGCCTTAAATGCTTACACATTGCTTTATACACACTGGATTTACAGCAATACACAAATACATTTACAAATGAAAAAGAATTAAAGGATTAAAGTGTTACACAAATTATTATTTTCTACATAATTAAAAAAAAACACTGCCTCCATGGTTTCATCTCAGAGGACTTTTTTCAGTTTTTTCATGACAATTTGCTTTTGTATAATGTTATTATTATAAGTATTGTTATTATTATTATTATTAGAAGAAGTAGTAGCATTTTTTATAAAGAAAAAAAACAAGCTTATATTTCTCCACCTGATACACTCAAAAAAACAACTTCAAAAATTCTTGTTTAAAATGAGCTGAAACAACCCAATTCTCGAGATTTCATTGGGACAACTTAATTTTTTGTGTTCTATCCACATAAAATCGTTAAGTTAACTTAATCGATTTGTTTTGGGACAACATGAATAAATTGTGTGAAACCCTGCATGTTTTTACAGTGTAAAAACAGAACGTGTGTTTGGATATAACTCCGTTTATTGACCACACTTTATTATTATAGCTCGTTTATTTGTTTCCTGTAAATTAGAGCTAAATTTAGAAATAGTTTTGAAAGAAGATCTTTGCGCTTAACAAACTAAATTAAATATGTAGGCTAATGTATGTGTTCAGTGGAGTGTGTACAACACCGTTTCCTTACTCCACGAAAATAAAGGAGTAAAGTAAACGGTTAAAACAAAGTAAAGCGAAAGTAAAGAGGTCGAATGGAGGAAGCTTGTTCTTTATCCTCACTCTGCAGATGATCTGTTTAAATGTTTTCTCACTAGTGAAGCGTTCAGTTTTTCTACTTGCAAAGTACGCCATGTAAATAACACCATGGAGCGATACAACTGACTCTTAAAGGGAATGGGAGATGAGACTCTGATGTGTTTATTCTCAAATCTGCCTAGATTGTTACAATAGAGCCATATGTGACATCCAAAACATATACGCATAGAATATGTTTCATTTTTTTTTTTATTAAATTGTTTATTCAGTGATCGGAAAATAAAATCACTACTTGTGAAAATAAAAATAGATCTTTTTATATATGAACAACTGATTCTCACTAATTCTTTAGATTTGGCCAGAATGGCCAATGGAATGTTATGCAATGGCCAATTCAATCACCTGAACAGAATCCAATTGAGCTTTCATATTACTTGCTGACTACAAAACTAAAGGGAAAATGTCCCAAGAACAAGCAGGAACTGAACACAGTTGCTGTAGAGGCCTGGCAAAGCATCACCAGGAATGAAAACCAGTGTCTGGTGATGTCTATGCGTTCCAGACTTCAGGCTGTAATTGCTAAAGGATTTGCAGCCAAGTATTTAAAAGTAATGTTTGATTTCTGATTATTATTCTGTCCAATTATTTTGGTCACTTAACAAATCGGAGGCACATATGCGGAAACTGTTTTAATTACTTAAACATTTACCTGATTTGGTTATAAATATTCTCAAATTAATGCTGTCAGTCTGCAGCTAAAACACATTCATTTAATTTCAAATCCATTGTGTTGGTGTATAGAGCCAAAGAATATAAGAATTGTGTCTATGTCCAAATATTTATGGGCCTAACTGTATATACGTATATCTATCTATCTATCTATCTATCTATCTATCTATCTATCTATCTATCTATCTATCTATCTATCTATCTATCTATCTATCTATCTATCTATCTATCTATCTATCTATCTATCTATCTATCTATCTATCTATCTATCTATCTGTCTCTGTCTGTCTGTCTGTCTGTCTGTCTGTCTGTTGCATAAGTTGCAATTCATTTGCTGTGTATATTCAAAATTATTATCACAGAAATTCTCTCATATATTTAATGTTTTTCGCAGCCAAATTTAACCCAAGGATCACCACGTTAAGGCAGTGTTAGTAATGAGAGCTTGTGTTTGTGTCTTTGCAGCACGGATAGTGAAAAGCAAGCAGTGGTGTGAGATGTCTCCGTGTTCAGAGGGTGAGATCTGCGGCCTGCTCTTCAACCGCTCCGGATGGACCTGCACCAAAGGCGGAGGACGCATTAAAACGGTCACGGTGAGATGCGTTACAAATATCTGTAACATCTCATTCATCTGCTGCAGCATTTACACCACCTGTGTCTCCACTCACTGGACTACATCTTCTAATGACCGTCATTATACAACATTTATTTCTTTATATAAAGTTTAGCAGGTCATTTGTTAATGTGCATTCATTAAACATCTTAAAGATCCGTGTATGTTTATATTTGAGTGCGCTGTACTGGTCTGTTAAGCAGTATATAATGTTTGCTTATTATGTATTGATGGAAGTGATTATGTAAGGGTTAATGAAGAGTCAGTCTGTCGTTATTGACAAATAAACCCTGACGGGGTGATCAGCAGCACAAAATGTTGTATAATATCACTCTGACAATTTTGCTGTAATTGCCATCTGTCTGTAAAACATGTTTTATGTAAATGGACACTTTAGATAAGATTATTATTTTTTAAGAAAAAAACACCTGTTAAGAGATGGAAAACTAGGATAGGATGGAATAGATATTGGTGCTTGAGACAGCTGCTAATTCAAGTTTATTGTCATTAAGCTAAAATATTTTGCAGCACAATGCAGCGATCGACCAATCAGAAAACAGTATTACAGAGAGTAATAAAGGGCAACAGTTTAATATTCATTAATTTTCTTTCGGGTTAGTCTCTTTATTCATTGGGTCGCCACAGCGGAATGAACCACCAACTTATCCAGCATATGTTTTACGCAACGGGTGCCTTTCCAGCTGCAACCCATACTGGGAAACACCCATACACTCTCATTCACACACATACACTACGACCAATTTAGCTTACCCAATTCACCTATAGCGATATTTCTTTGACCCAGTATCACCTATATGCAAACTCCACACAGAAATGCCAACTGACCCAGCCGGGACTCAAACCAGTGACCTTTTTGCTTTGAGGCAAAGGAGCTAACCGCTGCGCCACCGTGTCGCCCTCATCATTTTTAATGTTATCTTCAGGGTTTTGTACAGTAGATGGTTCTCCCTGATTTCATATGCTTTTTTCCTTTTTAATCAAAGTTTGTAATGCTGTGATTGTCCTTGTAGCTGATCGATTTGTTTTTAAAAATCTAAAAGTCTAGCTGACTATATGCAAATATTTTTTCCTGTGGATGAAATAATAATCATTAAAAATAAACAAATAAATCTAATCAAACACCAATTCACATTCCACGATCTCAGTCTTCCGAAGCTTCTTCCCTATCTCTATTTTTCACACCTCGTAACTAAATTCAGATTATTTTTTTCTTATTACTTAAGTACGCTTTTCAAGAGCCAAACATGTTATTAGGTTTCTCAACCAAAGTCCAATGGAAGGGTGATTAACATTTTCCAACACAAAGCAATACAACATTTTGTTTGTAGTTTCTGCCAACTCGACTCTACACCATAACTTTTCAATCCAGATGGATGGGGCAACCATTACTGCTTCCAAAATGGTGAAAAGCCTTGGAGTAACGATTGATGACCAACTAAACTTCTCTGACCACATTTCTAGAACTGCTCGATCGTGCAGATTCGCACTCTATAACATCAGAAAGATCCGACCCTTCTTATCTGAACATGCAGCTCAACTCCTTGTTCAAGCTCTTGTTCTCTCCAAACTGGATTACTGCAACTCTCTACTAGCTGGGCTTCCAGCTAACTCTATCAAGCCTCTTCAATTGCTCCAGAATGCAGCAGCACAAGTTGTCTTCAATGAACCTAAACGAGCACATGTCACTCCGCTGCTAGTCCGTTTGCACTGGCTGCCAGTTGCTGCTCGCATCAAATTTAAAACTCTGATGTTTGCCTACAAAGTGACTTCTGGCCTTGCTCCTTCTTATCTGCTCTCACTTCTGCAGATCTATGTGCCCTCCAGAAACTTGCGTTCTGTGAATGAACGTCGCCTCGTGGTTCCATCCCAAAGAGGGAAGAAATCACTTTCGCGAACGCTCACACTCAATCTGCCCAGTTGGTGGAATGAACTCCCTAACTGCATCAGAACAGCAGAGTCACTCGCTACTTTCAAGAAACGACTAAAAACTCAACTATTTAGTCTCCACTTCACTTCCTAATCTGCAATTGCCTCTTTGAATATCACACTAACTGTACAAAAAAAAAAAAAAAATTACTAATACCACTAATACTTCCCTTCTTAGACTTTACAGACCTGAAACTTGCCTATAGCACTTATTCATTGTTGCTCTTAGTTGTATAAATTGCTTCCTTGTCCTCATTTGTAAGTCGCTTTGGATAAAAGCGTCTGCTAAATGACTAAATGTAAATGTAAACATAGAACCCAGGCTCATTCTGATTAAAGGTGCAGTATGTAAGTTTGACACCCAGTGGTTGAACTAGGTATTGCACTCCTGGATTAAAACAAACATAAGCGCAGGTTGCCAGATTGAGGACAGGAGCGAGTGATTTAAACAGTATTCTAAATAAAAGCAACGGCGACCGATAGAAGGAATATTTTCCATATTAAAAGGAGTTTTTGTTCTCACTAACACTTCGAATTGATATATTAGAAACAGCTTCTATTTCTCACAGCTGAACAACAGAAAACTATGACAATGATGTACACCTCATGTGCTTTATTCAGTGTTAAATGCTAACAATCTGAGTTTGAATGTCATTTTACATGATATTTGTTGCCATATGCTAAAAGAAGCAGCAGTTCACTTTAGATCTTGAAATTGAACTTTAGAACTAAACACGTGATTCTACATTTAACAATGTTAAATAGGTTTAATATGTATTAAATAGATTATAAACCTCACCATGTCGTCAGTGAGTGCATATTCTGTGCTTCTGAATGGCTGTATGTCGAGGTTTTGTCTGGTGCAAACAGCCAAATTGTTTATCACTGCCTATCTCGTCATGAAGCGTGTTGTTAGGACACGCGGTTACAGTGTAACCTGCTCCCCTAATGTTTACATTCGTAATATTCATACTATTTGCTAATTAATAACCTCATGTGGAACTGAATCTGTCTCATTTCGGAGTTCATATGATACTGTCCACCGGCATTTCGGTCACAGGCGCATACCCTCAGAGCCTTTCTGAATGAATGAAAGCGCGGTTTTCCACCAAGGCAACTCAGAGTGCTGAAATAAAATTGGCTAAACTGACATTGAACAGGTTAAAAGAACATAACGACAATGTTCCGGCACTGCAAACACATTTTCAAAGCAGAATATCTGACTTCAGCATTGTTTTCAGATAAACAAGAATGTTCACTTAGCATGTTTCTTAAATATCTGCAAACATATTATGGTATTTTTATGCTTTAGAAGAGTCAAAACGTACATACAGCACCTTTATACCAAGTACACCTATATACATTTCTGGAGAGCGCCAAATATGTCTCAGAAGCTACGTTTTTTTTAGTTTTTGTTTTCACAAATCTATCAGAAGCCTCTGTGTGTGCTTTATGAGATCTCAAATTTCTCTCTCGAGTGCCATTCGCACATGCTGTTCTCGCGTAAATCCACCAGAGGCTACTGACTGACTGGCTCACTCTCCGCCTTCTTTAAACCCAACTGACAGTGTTTTCAAAAGTGCCGGTTGACCTGCCTATCCACTTTCCTAAATCCTCCCGGCAGTGTTTTCAAAAGCAATCCAGAAAAAGAAAAGCTCTCACGGCAGTCACATTTTCAGATTTATCACATTCTCACCCTGTTATTTACTTGCTTATTTTATTTTTTGGGTTTTGTTTTGTCTTACCTGCTTTCTGGAACCGTTCTTCACCGGACTCAAATCCCATTATCACAGTCAACTCCTCTTTGCGTCTCAAATCCTCCAATGTACATGGTGAGCCACTGGACAAAGCGAGAAAAGGAACGGCATCAGACCACCCCGTAGTTTTCATTTTAAAGACAAAATGCAGCCATGCGTACCTCTGGCTACATAATTCACGATTTCCAGAAATGTATATAGGGCTACGTTTTCAAAATGAGTCTACGTTGACAACGTCTTGCTTGTATTAAAAATTAATCAATCAATTTTCTTTATTTAGTAGACAAAGCACAATTGTCTTCATACATATTCAACATGCATAATCCATAAAGGTGACTTTTGATTTAGTGTTGTAAAGTCAAAAGTATAGAAAAAGTGTAGTGGACGACATCACATTAACAATAAAAAATTGCCGGTCATCTTGCCGGTCTCCTACTGATGCGAGTGACTGTTCAGGGGATGGATTGGGCTCTGCGATGCGATCCATTGTTTGTAATGCGTTACGTTCGTCACAGGCATAAGTGCTGAGCTCAGGGGGTGTTCTAGGGCTGTGCTGACCCTGCAGGCTCCTGCCCCATAATGTCTTGAGTCATTCTGTTTTTTTTGAGTTGCTTTGCACAAAATGACAAGGAGCAATTATGCTGAATTACTGGGTGCTTTCGGAAAAGAAAAAGCTTTGGAGGAAGCCAGGCTGCATGCTAAATGAGTGTGGTTCTGCTCGGGTTAGAGGGGTTGTGCCATTCAGCCTGAGTAGCTGAAATCATTCATGTGGAACTTGGTGTGTGTGTGTGTGTGTGTGTGTGTGTGTTCAAAGTGTGCACATTCACAGCTTTATTCGCAATGTTTGCATGCATGTATATGCGTTTCCTTAATTTCTATAGTGCTTTATGCGACGTGAAATGATTCAAACCAGCTTTCCGGTAATAGTCAAGGATGCAAACTGCAACAAATACTGGACTGTTTTAATATCTGCTAACTAAAATGTTCAAGTCGGGCGGCACTGTGGCTCAGTGGTTAGCACTGTCACCACACAGCAAGAAGGTCACTGGTTAGTTGGCATTTCAGTGTGGAATTTGCATGTTCTCTCCATGTTGGCGTGGGTTTCCTCCAGGTGCTCCAATTTCCCCCACAGTTCAAAGCCATGTGCTATGGGTGAATTGGATGAACTACTGTAACTTGTCCGTAGTGTATGAGTTTGTGTGTTTGTGGATGATGGTGTATGGGTGTTTCCCAATGTGAGGTTGCAGCTGGAAGGACATCTGCAGTGTAATACATA